TACCTTCATTAATCATTACAATCAGGAGGTTTGCTCAAAACTCTGAGAACGCTAAAAAAATAAAAAAATAAAATATTTCAATTTACACATGTATCTATAGCGGGTATGTTGTCATACTATATGGGCTAAATTGATACAGGGACCTGCTGCTTATTGACAATAATTTGAGAAGGATAGCTTTATTTTATTATGAAATAGCATCTAATTTATTTAAATATTTGTATTTAAAATCTATAAGCTATTTAATCCCTTTTCAGCAAAAATGAATATCTAAGAGATACAAAACAATTCACGAAAATGCAAAAAAATATAAAGCCATTGGTTTGGGCAACAGTGACCTACAAATTGTGACATTTACTATTTTTGTATAAACCCACCATTCATTTTTTATGTGACATTACAGTATTTATTATAAATGATTTATCCGTGCACAAATAACTTCCCCTCTTTTTTGCAGCGATAAATTCCCGATGGACAAAACACAGTCCCGCCTTACATCTTTTTTTCTTGTCCGAGAATACGTTTAACTCAGATATATGTCACAATAGAAGAAAAGACTATCACAAGTTCCCGTTAACACTGACAGTCTTTAGAGCTATGGGTTTTTTAAAACAATAGGCTATACATAACCACAGAACAAACAAGCATTAATATACAAATGGACATGTGACTCCAAACCTTATAATTATAGCATGGCTCTTGTGACAACTAGCCTCAAGAATATAATCAGATTAGTGTATTGTCCTTTTCTAATAAAATACAGTTTTACTACAAGCTACCAAGTGCCAGAAGGGATGAGCCAAACTAATTCGATTTCACTGTGAGTTTGGTAGATGAAGCACTGAAGCGATGCACATGCAGTCATTCAGATGTTCCTCTGGTCCGTCCCAGAGTCCCTGGATGTAAATTGATATAGTCTTGTCCTGCCCTCCCACTGGAAGGAATATTGGAAAGGAGAGAGAGCAAGACACCCCGAGGCGACAGTCTGTCTGGACAGCCCCATTTTTACAATTCCCCTTGTGACTATGCCACACTCCTTACTCGCCTCCACACGTGCACCTAAACATCTCATATACACACTGAGGATGGCATGCACATATACATATGCCATATACAGATACAAACATCCACATACAGCCAGTGTGCGCACACAATGACACCAGCAGTGTGGATGGACCAATTACAGTCAATCTGGTTTGTAAGCTGTGGTGGGTACAGTGGTGTCCAGGTCTGACACACACATAATCAACATGGGCTCATTGGAAAAATGAGAACCAAAATGTATTATACATATAATTCACTGCAGTTTCCAGCTGAACTGATCATATGAACACTAGTGGCAGTAAAACAACAACGTTTATTCCTTTACACACAAATTATGTTCACAGCGGGGTAGATTAAGACTAATTTTCATACGGTTTACAATGAACAATGATATAACTGCTGAAAAATATAGCATTGCTGGTCACCAGCATGGGAAGTGTTTGGCTGACCAGCTACACAAACTCAGTTTTGCTTGAGAACAGCATTACTATGCCTGTCCACCAACTACACCAGCACTATACCAGCTCAAACCAGCTTAAACCAGCCTGGGCCAACATGGAATTAATTTTTTTAGCAGGGATGTTATGATCTTTAAACACTTTACCATTAATAATACTTTTTTCACGTTCACATCACATAACCAGCTCTGTATTTTTGGATTTTCTAAAATAACAAGGTTGCTCTGTAGCTTACACTTGTGATGCGGAGCACCCGGGTACGAGTCCTGTGAAACACGAAACAAAAGAGCTCAATGACTTGTAGAAACAAGCTAAAATTGTCAGGGTTTTGAGTGAGAGGACTCAGATGTAGGAAACAATGGGCTTTTATTTGTAATAAAAACTACGCCGTAGGGGAAAATGCCGGCAGCAGGACTGAGCAGCACTTACAAAAAAATAAGCACACTTAAAGTTCATTTGATTAATAACTTTAAACAAGTTCAAGTAATTTTTATTAATACTTTATGTAGTAAGTATACTTATAGCAATGTACTAAAAGTATACTTGTAAGATTACTGTTTCAATACTACTTGGGACTAAATTGGCCCACTTTTTAGTGTATAAAGGTAGCCTATACTTTTAAGTATACTTTGTGTAACAGTATTAAACTTTAAGTACACAACATGTTTACTACTTGAAGTTTTTTGTTTGTACTGCAACTATACTAAAAGTGAATTTATAAGTATACTGACAAATACTTAGTTTAGTTTGTGAAAGGACACTTTGAAGTGTACTCTCAGTAAACTACTAGTTTTATTCTTTAAGTATACTTAAAAGTTTTCTTTAAGTGAACATAACATCATACTTATAGTTTACTATTTATATATTATTTTTGCACTTTAAGTATACTGTATTATGTTCCTATTTAGGTAGAAATATGGTCTCATCACTAATGTCGCATTTTTGTCGTAGAAAAAAAAGTTAAAATATCTTCAGCTTGTGTTCACCCCAGACCTTATTTTAGGCATTTAACAAAAACATTTTTTTTTTTAAATTTTTTTTTTTTTTTAAACCCATTGATTTGAGACGATGGAACCAGAAGTGTTAAAATGCTAACTAACTTTTGGGTTTTGGACCCTACAGCACTCTACACTATGTGGGCGGTACGTTAGGTTCAAACATGATAGAGCATTAACCTTTTAGCACCGCATTTCATTTCCAAACTGCTGTGATACGTACTACAACCGACATAATAAAATGTTGCAAGATTCACGTTTTGGAGAAAATAAAATGAGCATTTATCGCTACTCACTGGAAATTTTACTTTAAAAGTGTCGTAAAATGTGCAAGAAGCAACAAAATTTAATTTTGCAAAAATGTCACCACACACACTTTGGTCTAGGCTTATATGCAAGGTTTATTGGAAAAAACTTGAATACTCTACAACCGGGGCTGAATTTATGATTCAATTATTTATCCGATGTAGGCCTATATATCACCTGCAATTTAAAGTAACATCCATCAACTTTTAGCAAAATACGAAATTATTGTTTTAAAAATAAAATGTTTATTGAGTATGTAAATGAGTATAGATGCACATACAAAACGCCACCAAACCGCAATTATTAAAAATAACGTTCCCCAACTAAAGCCCCCCAGGTGGAATCCCTGCTCTAGAAAAATACACATGTGAAGATCGTGGATTGTGTTTGCTGCCAGGTGAGGTTGAAAGTAAAAGATTGTAAACCTTGTAAGCTAAAATTCCTGCTTAATCCAGTCAGTCAAAACACATGTTTATAAGCCCTCCCACTCTCTCTGCATATCAGTCTCTCTCTTGATCCTTCCTCTCTGTACTGTGTCCAGTGACCTGAATACCCAATATTGGTTAGAAGTCTCATTTGACCAGATTTTTTATTTAAAACACAACATATTTGGGTGCAAACAGACATGCGCTGCTTTTTCAGTAAACCGTAGCTCCATTTTCACCCTATTGTACAGTATGTGTACCGTTTTGCTAGTTATTCTTTTTCTGCCCTAAAAGTCTTCTCTTAGGTCATTGGTTATACTTCCATGGAACATGTGCTTATCCATTTCCACACAAAAAATGTCCTGCCACCTTGAGGTTTTCTTTTTTCTTCTTCTTCTTTTTTTTGAAAATCCTACTTTTCAAACTTGTCCTAGGTTGTTTGTCCAGTTTTCACAAAATTTGGTATGCATATTTATAGATACTCCTGATAAAAAGGTCGTCTAAAGATGTTAGATATATATAACTGTTTAGGAGATATAGTATATTTTGGGGATGTTGCCCATAATGACTAATTGGCCTATTTCTGGTAAACACAATGCCAAACTTTACAAAAGGAGGTACACATGATGATTATCTCTAAATGATAAGCCATTTTATTTCAATGTGATTGATAGAGGAAGGTTGTTATACATCCTTTTATATCCAGACTCATAGTTTGGTTGAATAGCCATATATTGGTTGAATAGATAACTCCATAGTGTGTGTCCTGTCCTAATTAGTTTGCAAAGTAATCTGTGATCTGCAAAATGCTTATAGATTAAAGAGTACCTTTACCTTTTTTTAAATCCTAATGATAGTGAATACTTATTTTTTTTCAGCTGCCAGACATGACTGAATATACACCAATTAAAACAGACAAAATATTTAAAAAGATATCTCACAAACCCGCTGATTTCCATGGCTATATATTTTTTATTTATTTATTGTATTTTTTTGGTCATTTCATGTGTTAATTAGTTTTCACAAGTGTAATGCTGTTAGCCTAATAGGGATTTATTCATTAAAAATCCTCTTTGATGAGAAATGGATGGCTAATCTGATTATAGTGTAAATTTTATAATTGGATGGTCATATATTTAAGAAGACATTGTCAACGAAATAGCCTCCCTATTATTTTTGTAGTGTAGTTGTCAAAATAGTAGCTTAACTGAATGTTTTTACAATATGAGCTTAAAGCTTGTAACTTTTTGTTTAAGATGTTGTTTTAAAGTAGATTCCCAACACTGCTTCTTTAAGGGGAAAAGTTTGAGTTTAAAACTGAACAAATCCACAAATCCAATATTGTACAACACAATGTGATATAAAACCCCATGGTACACTGCAACATGGTTGGAAGTAGCTTGTTACTGGAAAACATAGATTATTTTGAAAATTTGATCAACTAAATGTAGTTAAGTTAGTTGCATTGCAACTTTTAGTTACAACTCTTGTCATAAATTCCCTTTTTATTGAAGAGGAAGCCATGTCAGTCTTTCTCACTCAAAACATCAGTAAATGAGGCAAGCAGTTCAAACATCAATTGAACTGCAACTAAAATGGCTTAAATCTTCAGCATGAATAAGCAATTAGACATGATTCAATTAACATGTGCTGCCATGTATATGATGTTAGCCTTTCTCTGACTTTTATTGGAACATTATAAAAATCTATGCAAGGTATTAACTTGCTAACTAGTGTGTGTTTTTTCTCTCTCTCTCTTTAATCTTTTCCAGGGTGAAAGAAAACACGCTACAAGTCCAAAGTCCAAATGGACTTCTGAATCATCTTCTATAAAGAACCATTATATTGGTTGAATTGTGCTATAAAAGGCAAGCGGGGGCGAGGAGAGCTTGCTGGTTGCATGATGGCTCCTGAAGGTATAGGGGAGCTTCGAGACTTGCTCTTCTTTCTGCTGCTGTGCTTCACACTATTGGCTGAGCTATTGGAGATGACTGCAGCTTCCTCACTGGGATTGGATGGTGATGGTGACATAGTGTGCCCTTCTGTGTGTCGCTGTGACGAGGACTTTATTTACTGCAACGACCGAGGATTGAGCGCAATCCCACCTCTACCCCCATCTGCAACTGTCCTTTATCTTCAGAACAATCACATTGACAATGCAGGGCTTCCTAGGTCCTTGGAGCATCACACTACCGTGCGTGTTATATATCTCTATGATAACGAGCTCGATGACTTTCCATTGAATTTGCCACCTTCATTAAGAGAGCTCCACCTCCAGGACAACAACATTAGAGTGTTGCAAAGGGCTGCACTTGCTAGACTTCCGCTCCTTGAAAAGTTGCATTTGGACGACAACTCGGTTTCTACAGTGAGTATTGAGGACCAGGCCTTTGCGGACAACCCTAGATTACGTCTCCTCTTCCTTTCCAGAAACCACCTTTCCAGCATCCCATCTGGTCTTCCTGCCTCACTTGAAGAACTCCGTTTAGATGACAACCGAATCTCTACTATTCCCACTCATGCCTTCCGAGGTTTGTCCTCTTTACGCCGCCTGGTCTTGGACGGTAATCTTTTAGCTAATCAACGTATAGCTGATGATACCTTCTCACGTCTGGCAAACTTAACAGAACTCTCCCTGGTCCGTAATTCGCTTCAAACACCCCCACTTAACTTGCCCAGTGCCCATCTGCAGAGACTCTCCCTTCAGGACAATAACCTTATACACATGCCTCGGGGCTCACTTGATGGAATGCGCAGACTACAACGCCTAGATCTTTCCGGAAACAATCTGACTACCCTTCCCAGAGGATTGTTCAGGGACTTGGACAACCTGGGGCAGCTGCTTGTGCGAGGAAACCCATGGCACTGTGGGTGCAACTTGCGCTGGCTGCATGACTGGCTGGAGGCAAAGGGGAACACAATTACCGTGAGAGGCTTTATCTGCCAGACACCAGAGCGAGTCCGAGACATGGCGCTTAGAGACCTCACAAATCAGATGGATGAATGTGAGTTAGCTGCTGCAGGTGGTGGAGGAGTAGGTACAGGTGTTGGCGTTGGTGGTAACAGGGTGAGTGGAGGAGCGGTGGGAGTCATTTCTACCACTCTTTCTCCCCCTCAAGGGTCCCTGTTCACTCTCAGGTCCAAGCGACCAGGCCTGGGTCTTCCAGAAACAGGGTTGGACTACACATTAAGCAGCAGTGGTGTGGGCAAGAACCTAGCCCTGAATGTGAAACCCCTATCCCATGACAGCATCCGTGTTACTTGGAGTGTAGCGCAAACATCTTCTTCCTTTCGATTAAGCTGGCTTCGCCTGGGAACTAGCTCTGCCATGGGGTCCATCACAGAAACTTTGGTTAGGGGTGACCGGCGGGAGTACCTTCTCACTTCCCTGCAGCCTGCTTCCAGCTACATCATTTGCATGGTGCCTCTAGTGTCTAACAGTGGAAGCAGAAGTAGTTTGCCTGGGGGGGACACAGAATCAAACGAGGTACCAGTTTGTGCCAGAACAGAAACGTCTGATCCCGGCCTGCCTGATGAGGAACAAGGTGAAGAAGATAGCTCTGATCAAATGACTTCTCTGCCACTTGCAGGAATTATTGGAGGTGCTACGGCAATAGTTTCCCTTGCTCTTATCATTGCCATTTTCTGCTGGTATGGGCACCGTGCAGGGCGCCTCAAATCACGAGACCATTACAGTCATAGTGGCTCTCGCAAGAGCAAACACTATGATGACTACATTGAGTCAGGCACAAAGAAAGACAATACTATCTTAGAGATCAGAGGTCCTGGATTTCAGATGACACCAATGGCAACAAGGCAGACCCTTCAACCCAAACCAGTGCGAGAGGATTACATTATACACACCATCTTCCCTTCGAATGGCACAGGTCCATACAAGCCATCCCAAAACATGACCAACTCTGGCTATGGTACCAACCGTGGCTATAGAGAAGGAGGCATTCCAGATATAGATTACTCTTACACATGATAGCTTTGATTTAGAAACCATAATTAGGAGTCATGTATTGCATAGATACACAGTTTTTAATCAACATGGGCTCGGCTGAATCCCTTTGTGCCTTCTGGTCTCCATTACAATGTAGCCTGCTGTTCATGAGACTATAAAACTTTTAATTGGCCCAGATGCTTATAGGGAAGCATTATAAATGTGGTGCCAGGAGGCAATGATGCCATTTCAGGTGGCGATACCAAATGCTATTTTCACCTCCCGGTGTAATGATCAGTGTCCCTGACATTGCTGTTTTATCTCTGGCTGGTGCACTGAGGTGGATTCAAGGGCAGCCCACACTGCATTCAGCTTACAGACTGTTTATAAAGCTAAATGCATATAAAGGCAGCCTTCTCATCGGCTGCTAAATAACCAACCTGCTATTCATTTTAATGGTTTTCTCCTATGAGATAAAGGTTCCTGAGTCAAGGATTTGAACCAGGATTCTGAGTCCTGCATAAAGCAAGATAACGTCTTTGTTCAGAGAAACTGGAAATGTGTTGTGGCAAGTGATCCTTCTGGAAAATGCATGGGTTCACATGCATATTTGTTTTCGGAGATATGAGCTGCAGAACACAACTACTATTCCTAATAAAGAAGGAGTGTCTGGACCATGCAACGACATGGCCCTGAAAAACTACAGCAAGGTTTGAAATGCCTCAAAAACTAAATTAATTTGAAATCTTAAACACCTGAAAGCTGCCTGATGCTACTATGATAACGTCCAACAAGCGTTATGCTGACTGTTTTACTTTCAGACTGGTGTAAAGTTGAAAGGATGAATAAAAGGCGTTTATGTGTCTTGAGGACTTTCGATTTTTTTAAATTGCAACTGAACCCTGGTGTGTTGATGGATACAAACAACGCAAGTTAGAAATTGGACATTGTCATGACTCTGTTCCCTAGTTTGATTTTTGTGTTGTTTGTTCTTCTCAAATTTGTTTAACAATTTTTAAGTTATACAGCCCTGCTGATATTTTCAATGTAATATTCAAAGGTTTTCCTCTATAACTGAGGTCAGTCTGTTATCACTTATCCAATATTAAATCCCCCAAACAACCAATCAGAGCTAAAGCAGTCAGACAAGCCAAGCTCTCCCACTATATAAACAAACTGTTTCGGTTTACACCAACATGACAGTATCACACTTATTAAAAATAGGAATACGTCTGTAAAAACTTCATGGTAACACAAAACTTGCTTGTTTTCAAAAGATTGTCCCCTATAATGTTTTGCACATAAGAAACCAATGTTCTGTTAAGGTGGACCAAGATTTGTAGGTTGCTTAGCCCCATTCTTAGCACAAAATTGCATTCTTTAAATCGTTTATTTACATCTCCAAATGTCACTGAAGAAAAGGATATGGCCTTGTTGCTAACCACAGCAGTTGTACTGCTACGAGTCTTAGGAAGAAGAGAAAGGGTGTTAGAGGGAAACCAGGAATTTGAACCATAACACTGTGGACCATCACTGTGGGAGATAGAGAGTGCATCAGAATGTTGTATAATTTTGTAAGGTGGATGCATTTTGCTGAAAATTATTTTTCACTTTATTTCCTTGTGTAGAAATTATCTGTTTGTCGATGTCTTCAACCCATTAATTTAAGCTAACAGCAGGAGAGAATCCCACTTATCAGTCAATTTACGCAATGGTAGACGGTGAGAAAATGTATGTGTGCATTGTACGAAAGACTTTCCCAGAGTCTCTGGACATTTCTGTTCTGCTCCTCTGTATTTGTATTTATGTATTTGAGGACTTGTGGAGAATTTAAGACAGCTTACACTGCCTTGTATTTTATGTACTATTTGGCAATCTACTGTACTTGTCAAAAATAGGAAAGGATGGAGAGAGAGAGAGAGAGAGAAGTAGAATTTTCTAAACTAAAAAAGACCAAGAGATTATACAGAGAAAACATGGATTTGATATTAAAGCAGGGCCCCAACCGAAATTAAGGCTGTGGTGTTGAACTGTGCATGAAATGTTGTGTCATCTTCTTGCTGTCTGCTGTTGTGCTGGCGTTTGGTCTTTCTCCTTTCCCTCTGCACAAAGGACTGCTACTAACTTCTGTTTCAGAGATGAAAATGAATCAAGACTTCATGGCATTTCTGTACAAGTTGCCTTTTATTTATAGGCAAGTTGAGAGAAAACTACCCACTATTGCCATTGCTTCGATAACATAGCCCATTTTTTTGTATTTTTATTTAATTAATTTATTTTTTATCGTTTGTTTGCTTTATGTAGTACTAGTTCGCTCAAAAAAGGGAAATTGTGTCATTGTTTTCTTTTTTTTCATTCCAAATTCAACATGAAAAATGACAAGACTTACTTTTGGAGCACACAAATTTGGAAAAAATATTTTAGCAGAATCGTGAAGCAAAATGTCGATCAAATGAAACTTAGTCATCAGGTCAAAAGGACATAAAGGCACCATAAAAGCACAAAAAAAGTAGTCTGTATGACTCAGAAGACTATATTCCAAATCTTTTGTGTGAGGAACATTACTGAGGAACAGTTATCAGAATAGTTCTCATACTGTATATGAAATGAATGACTCCAGATGCCATGAGTTCGTGTGTGTCTTGTAACCTATCAAATTTAACTGAATGAGGGTTAGTAAATGCTTAGCTATTACTAGCATTTTTGGCTGAACTGTCTGCATTCATCTTAGGTATTATTTGCAACTGCTTTCAAGAGAATATTCACTGAATCTCAAGAGCAATTGAAACATGTTAAATAAACTGTTATTTTATTTCCCATGATTACTGTAATGCAGATTCATGCAGCCCCCACAGAGGCAATGAGATCGCAAGGTTTTGCAACTCTACAGGTGTAAATGGGTTCTTGCATTCAAGTTCCACCTATAGATCATATTTTCTCTCAGCTTGCAGCTGAAATGTTCAGGCGCTCATTCCCTGTCTTCACTTTCCCCTCCCTTCCTGAGAAACCTCTTTGATCTGCCGCCATTGTTTTCATTTGAATTTGCAGCATGTGCGAAGAAGGATTACAGAGTCAGTGTGTGTGTCCTTGCGTGTGTGATGATGATGTTCTTTAGGGGTTCAAAAATATGGAGGCGTACATTAAAAGTATTTTCTGTTGCAATTTTTCCTGTCTGTTTTATTCAAACCATCTGCAAATTCGGCATCTCCTGCCGACTCTGACCAGCAGTTGTTCCACCTGCACCCCATTAACGCAGATGTCTCTTTGCACACGCACACGCTCCACTATATACACACATGCATACACAAACACACACACTCCTTCTGTTGTCACCCCTTGAGACAGGAGCTCAACCTGCATACTCATTCTGTAAAATAACAGCAATACTTCCCCCTCACACACAACCCGTTCTCATTCCCAAGGCATCAAATACTGCTGCTCGGGGTTTTCATGTCACTACACAGATGATAAAGGGGTCCCTTAGTGTCTTTATAGCAACGTGGCCATCAACCCCATTGCTTTCAGCACAAAATCTATCATACCTGGATCAGTTGCTTGGTCCGAGCACGAGTTTGATCCCCAATGCAATGCTTCATTTTTTATATTTTAGAATTATTCTGCACGACTGCCGAAAGGGAATTATTTTGCAATAAATTGCGATTTGAACTTTGGGTCTTTCACGACCCAGATCTACATCTAACACGGAAAGATCTCTAACTGCAGCAAAAGTATAAAACTCTCCTGATATTTTAATGACAATTACAAAATAATAAAATAAAGCATATTTACCCTTTACCTTTTGGAACATGGAAGTTTTGGGCAGTTTTTTTTTTTTACCATCATCACTGTCATCGTTAGAGCTCATTGTATTATGCATCTGGCTCATGTTCAGAATCTCAACCATATTCTCAAAACTATTGTTTTCAATGTCTTCAAATGAATACTTTGATTGCTGACAGCTTCTTCACCAGATCCGCCATCAAGTGACAGTGACACTAATATTTGATCGCATAAAATTTGCTTGTCTGAGTATAAAAGTTTTCCTGATGATACTTGTGTATTCTTTTGTTTTCTTTTGTCATCATTGTGTCTCAGACATTGCCACTTTGAGGAATAAAGGTGAATCACACTTATTGAGTCATCAGAGATGGCATGGCAAAAATTAATTTCTTTGGCAACATTCTTGCAGCTCAATGCATATAACTCAAACCGAGTGAGAACACACAAACACAGATTTACCAAATCAAAGGTCATCAATAACGGTGATGAAATTAAATTTGATGATGAATAACCGGTGAATAACCGCACTGCAGTTCACATGAACCGTACCGCAGACCACCTTTTTAAATGGACTTGTTTACAGTTTGCGGGTGTGCAACCGAGTTCAGAAAACAGCATTCACATCATTCAAATGAAGCAAACTCTGACGTGAAAGTGCACCCAAATGATGTTCCGGATTTAAAAAGGAAGCTGTATTATGAATTAACTATTTTTGCGCATTTAAAGCCGGATTTACTAACAGCTTGCACCAACACAAACCCTCTTTGGGCTTTAAAAAAAACTACTGTAAGGATTTACTCAGACAAGCAGCGATGAAAGGTCATGTGGACACGGTTATTTTTGCGGTTGACCTTGTTGATTACACATTTGTAGGAGTTTCCCTGTCAGGCCGCTAAATTTATAGTGGAGAGTATTTGTTTTCGGTAGTCAATACTGGTGTTACCGCCATCATGTACAGCCCAAAAAATACATTTTGCGCCTGACATTGAATTAGCAAATTCTCCGTATATCACCCACAGAACTTTCAACTCCCATCTGCGGTTTTATTAGAAACATAATAACAGCCGCTCGCTAATTTCCCCTATTTAGTCAATCTGGCTCTTAATCAGCTGCTTCTGTATCTGAAGAATTCAGACTCAGAGTGATATTTTGGGGTGTTGTTTTCAATTTGAACTTGGCAGTAGTTGATGCCTTGAGAGTGAGAGCCTGTCACTCGACGATATCATCTGAAGGCTTCCTCCTATTCTCTGTCTGTCATATGTCACTGGTGCACTCTCGTCTCATCTCATCTATGGCCTTCCTCACTGTCATAACCGAGGCATCTGATCTGGGATGGTGTAATATGACTCTTTTTTTGCTGTCTAAGTGATGTAAGCAAGCAGTTAATGACCCCTGGCTTATAGAGTTCAGTGTGCAACAATAGGAAAACATTCCCGATACAAGGCTTCAATGGATTTCAAAATTGATTTCATTGCCTCATGCAGTCAATTTTATGTTATGGGAAAATTATAGCAGAGCCCCGCTCTGTTGCAGAACACACTAGAGGTTTCAGATAGTAATGACATGGTACTTTGACATACAGTATACTGGTACTGAATGATTATCACACTGAAAAAAGTTAAGCATAACCCTAATATTTGTTGGATTTAAGTTTAAAGGAACACCGTGTAACCTCTAGTGGT